CAGCCAGCCTCCCGCCGCCGCCGCCGCTGCCGGACGCGCAGAGCCGGGACTGCTGGGCCGACGGCTGCCGGCCGAGCGAACACTGGGTCGCGGTGCGGAGGGCGTCCCTGGCTGGGACGCGGGTCGCGCCGGTGTCCTTGGATAGTGCCCGACTCTCAGGTAACCGTTGAGGGGCTCCTGGCCGGGCCGGACGGGACTTTGGGGAGGGGGCGTCCCGCGCAGGTGACACTGCTCCTCTGGCCCCTGCCTTTTGCCCGCCGCCACCCCGAACGGGCTCTGGGGCAAGGACAGCCCAGCCGGGTTCCGGACTGCGCGCCACAGCGGGGTCCGGGGCTGGGAGGCGAGAGGCGCAGGTTTCCCGCTCCCCTCCCCCGCCCCGCCGCCGGCACCCCGAGAAGTCACGGCTCCCCGAGCTCCGTGCGGGTGCTGGCCGAGCCGAGGCTGCGCGCTGGTGGCGGGGTGACGGGGTGCAAGCGGCCGCGGGGAAGTTTCTTTTTCACCCAGTTGCCTGAGAACTTTTCAGAAGTTCCTCGCGTGGCTGGAGCAGGTGACATTTGTCGCCTCCTTCCTCGGCCCCCCCACCCCCGGGAGCCGGTGCCAGGGCTGCGGCGCGTGCCCGGCGCCCCTGGGAGGCGGGGATCTGGGAGGGAGCGGAGGGATGAGCGAGGAGTGAGGCTCCGTGAGTCACGGACCCTGGGAGGGGAGGGAGGGAGGAGGGATTGTGTCGTACGCTCACCTGTTTGTCAGTCGCCGTCACACGCAGAGGCCACCGCTGTGAGTCACGGGCGCAGCTACTCCGGTCACCCTCAGACTCACGTAGTCTCTCTCCCACGCACTCCTCCCCTCCCCAGCACGTACTTCCTCCCGATACTCAGTTTACCCTCCCCGGGGGCCCTTCCACAGGCACGCACTGTCGAGATGCCCACTCCACGGCAACCGTCATACACTTAGTCACTCCTGCTCTGGCACGATCACACACATAGCCCACACTGCTGACACAGAGGGTCCCTCCCCGGCTCCACTGCCCACCCGCCACCTCCACTTAGATGTCTCAGTCCTCCCGAGCGGAACTCATCACCTCACCCTCAAATCCTTGACATCACTGCCCTCTGCGGTCTCCATATCCCGAGGTCACCAAGTCCATTCCCCTTTCTCCTGAGCCCTTGTACTGTCATCTCTCACCTAGCTCTGGTAGCAGGGTTTAACCGGTCACACCCCCCTTCTGTCTTGGTGCTGAGCCATCTTTTTAAAATGCAAATCTGGTATTGTCACTCCCTACTTAAACCCTGCGGTGGCTTCCTGTGCCCTCAGGCTAAAGCCTGCCGGTGGGCCCAAGCTGCTGAGCCCCTCCCTCAGGCTGCCCCTCCCCCATCCCCTCTCTGTCTCTCCCTCTCTCAAGTCGCTCACACATGCTGCGCCCCCTTTCTGGAACCCTTCCCACATCCTTTCTCCGAAAGACCTGTCTTCACCCCCAGGTGTACCCCTCCTGCCTACCCCGCCATCCTCCATCGCAGAACACGACAGGGTTTGAACACTCTGGTCATACTCTTGCCTACTAAACTCAAAGCAGCACGAGTGTATGTCTTGCTCCCTGTATGCTCAAGTGCCTAAACAGTGTTTGGCATGTCATGGGAGCTCAATAAATTTTTGTTGAATGAATGAATGAGAGTGAAGGAGGCCTCACTTGGGTGGAGGAAGCAGTTGCTGTCAGGTGCAGTTTCCCTGCTGCAGAAGCAATTGCCTCATGTAGCCAGCAAACATTTGGCACCTACCCAGTGCCAGGCCCTGGAGGCCAAGGCTGAGGAACTGCTCCCCCCTTCACTTTCAGAGGACCGGGTGGGGGAGGGGCATGCCAAGGCTTCCTGTCTGCCCTCTCTGGGCTGCCCAGGCTGTTTTTCCAGCCAATCCCCGTGGGGGTCCTAGGTGCTCAGAGGTGCCCTCCCCTACTCCCAGGAAGCAGTTCTTTAGGGCCTGGGGGTCATGTGACCTTAGGTACTAGGGGAAACTGACCCAGCTTGGCCAAGGCCCGGAGCTCTAAGGTTAAAGGACAAATTCTTCAGATTCTTTGGAGTTGGATGGAGGCCGCTGAGGGTGCCCCCTCCCCAGTACTCACTCTGGCCGGGGGGCTGGAGCGTTGGGACTGCTGACATGCACCGAGGAGTTGGTGTGACTTTTCAGAGGCCCTGCGATGTACCCCCTCCCCCAGTAGCCTTTGTTTGCTTGGTGCCCAGGGTGGGGTAGCCTTCCCTGGATTCACACACACAGTGTGGCCTGAGTACGTAGATAGTTGTGGCAAGTAGGATAGGGAGGTGTGCCCCTCTCATCCTGGGCTGTCAGCTCCTGTGTGTGGTGGCAGGAAGGCGGCCTGATTCTCAGGGCCCAGGCAGATCCCGGAAGAAGTCTGGTTCTCTTTGATTCAGGGCCTGTCTCTGGGGTTCCTGGGGGTGTGGTGTTTCTGTCTGAGCCAGCTCCTGGGAATTGCTTTTCCTTCCTCCAGGACCCTAGGAGGGGGCCGTGCTCACCCTGGGAACAGTGCCATAATCGGGATCTTGATTCCTGGGTAGCTGCTGAGGGCCCCTCCCCCACCCTCTGACTCACTGTCTGACACTTTTCTTGGACTCTTCCACTATCTATCTTTCATTCCTTTTTCTGACTTGGCCTCTCCTTGTCTCAGGCTGAGTCTTTTTGTCTCATCTCCCGCTTCTGCCTCTTTCAGCCTCTGGCTTCCAGGTGGGACAGGTTCAATCTCCCTCCCCCCACCTCAGAGAATATTAGGGAGGGCATTTCTTTCCAGGTCTGCAGATGCTGCTGGAGTTCATCACAAAATCTGTGGCATGCTCATAGTTTCCCCTGTCCTGTTTCCCTGTCTGCAGCCTTGGTGCTTTTAACCCCTCACCTTAAGTTCCTATTGTGTAGATAACCCTGAGGCAGAATCAAGGTGTCTGGCTTGAACCTGCTTCCCTGACATCTCTATTTGTTTACTCGTGGGGAACAGGGAGCCTCCTGAAATGCCTGTGTTGGCATCTGCCTGCAGCCTGAGCTTTCCTCTGCCCTCAGCCACCCTCTTACGAGTACACTCTGCTGCAGGCTGGGGGATGGGCATGTGCACACTGACCAGTTGCCCACCAGAGACCTCATGTGCTTAAATCTTCTTTCTGTGTTTGTACCCGATATGAAGCGCCCACCTGCTTATCTCTAATGATCCTTGGGTGCCTTCTCTTTGCCAGACTCTGTCCTAGGCATGGGCACAGTGACAGCCAGGCAGAGAGGCCCTCAGCCCCCTGTGAGGGTGATGAAGTGAGACCGTTGCAGGGTGGGGAGGTAAGGGCTGTAATGGGGGGAAATCTCAGGGCCCATCAGAGACCAGAGAAATGTGGGGTGAGTGAGGAGTGGGAGTTTCAGGGCGACCCTCTTAGAGATGATTTCTAAAGGGGTGGGCGTGAGGCTTGGTTCCAGCTTGTGCAAAGGCCAGGAGCAGGTCATGGTCATTAGGGGCACCGCAAGTTCAGCTAGACTATAAAGCAAAAGTCTTGTAGATAACCCTGAGGCAGAACCAAGGTGTCTGGCTGGAACCTGCAGGATGAGTCTGGAGAAGAGGCGGCATCTGGGCCTGCTTTAGTCTCATGGAATTCTGGACTCGATCCTTAAAGGGGGCTCCAGAGCGATTCTTAGGCCCGGGGGGTAGTAGGTAGCTGTGCGATTTGAGAGGATCCCTCTGGCTGCAGGGTAAAGAATGGCTACAGAGAGGACAGGACCAGAGGCAGGGGACATGTATTATAGCAGGGGGGACAGAGACATAAGGGTAATAAACTTTTTAACTTATAAGTGACATACATGAAATGCATAAAGTATATGAATCTTACATGAACAGCTAGATGGTTTTTATGGTTTTAGACATCCTTGGACTGTATCACAACCCAGGTCAAGATAGAACATTTCCAGACCCTCCGGAAGATTCCCTCATGGCTATCCCCTGTGAACCCGCCGCCGCCGCCGCCCCCTCCCACCCCATAAACACTGTTCTGACTTGTATCATCTGCCTTTTCTTGAACTTCATTCATATGTATTCTCGTGTCTGGCTTCTTTCACTCAACATGATATCAGTGAGATTCATCTGTGTTTTGGGTATCCAGGAGCTCACTCTTTTTTTTTTTTTTTCACAGTGTAGAATGACACATTCACTAAGCACTTATCACTGTTCTAAAAACTTGACATGTACTGATTCATGTAAAACTCCCAACCCAGTGAAGTTTTAAGACCAAGGATTGGAGGGGCACGGTTAAGGGACTTGCCCAGCTCACAGCCAGTTAAGAGCCAAGCCAGGGTTCAAGTGCAGGCAGTCTGGTCCTGGAGTCACGACTCTTAACCCTGGGCTGGATGGCCTCCATGCTGCCTTCTGCGTCTGTGCCTGGCTTTGTGTAGATTAAATGAGCTAATGTGTCCTCCCAGGACTGGGTGACTAGTGTGGATGGAGGGAGAGGGGGGAAATATGACTGCAGGTTTCTGGCTTGAGTAACTGGGTGGGTGGCAGTGCTGTTACTAAGATAGGGAACACAGGAAGAGGAACAGATGGCACTGGTGGGGGGGGTAGGGAATAGAGACAAGGGGTTCGATTTGGGGCCTGCAGAATTTTATGTTTCTAAGGCACAGCCAGGCAGAAATACCAAGTGGGCATTTGATTTGGGGCGGGGGGAGTCTCAGGGTTGGGTGTGTGAAATGGGAGGCATTCGGTACCCCGTAGACAGCATCTGGAGCTTGGGAAAGGATGGGTTCTCCTAGTGGGACTGTAGTAGGGACATGTCTGCGTGTGGTTTGTCTGTGTGTGTGTCTCGAGTGTCTCTGGTCTGCATGTGTGTATATGTGTGTATGCCTGGCTCTCGGTCATGAGTTCCCCTGTCTCCTGGGAGAGCCTGCAGGTCAGCTGGGAGCCGGGTTGTTTTTGTTTGTGGTTTGACCCTGGGACGAGGCTGCCGAGCCTGAGAACCTACCCGCCGAGAAGCCCCCGGAAACACCTGTGTGTGTCCTCTTCCCCCGGGCCCAGTGTGGAGAGTTTGCAAGGAGTGGAGCTTCTCTTGCTTTTCTTGTGCATGCTGGGAGAGGCTGTCCCTGGAACTAATTTTACCCAGTAAACTCCATCCAGTAAGTCAGTCGACAGCACACTCTCTAGGTCTAGGATACAGGGACTTCGTGGGAGGCTTGGCAGAGGGAGAAAGGGTTGTTTAGAAAGGACACCTGAGGAGGGGAGATCGCCAGCCTTATGGTTGGTTTTTCCTGTTCTCTCTCATTTCCTGTGATGGCAGTGGGGGAGGGGCTCCCCAGCACTGGGGCCTCTTCATCGTTTCCCCTTCCTCCTGGTGACCTCCTGGGGGCCTAGCCCTGAGTGCTACCGGCTGGGCAGAGACAAGGTAGCCATGCTCCGCCCTCAGGCCTGAGTTCTTTGGGGATTCCCAAGCCGTGGAAGGGACTGTTATTTGCTGTGGCATTTAGGGGAAGGAACCTCACGTCCTCGCCACTGCACTTGGCTTGGGCCAGCCAGACTGTGGCAGTCTGACTGCACCCCTCGGCGGAGGGCTGGGACCCTCAAAGGACAGGAACGAGTGGTGTGTCCTGGGGTGCTCCAGGTCACCAAGCTACAGACTGGAGAGAGTGGGACATTGTCTTGGCAGGTCAGTTTCACTGTAAGAGCTTTTTAAGGGGAAAAAAATAATTTCCATAGGAAGTTAATTCGAACAAAGAGGACTAGATATTGGAGTGGAAGGGAAAATGGAGGTAAAATTTTAAGATCACACAGGAGATGAGAAAGAGACACAGAGCCAGCTCCAGGTCCCACAGTCAGACCTGGAGGCAAGGGACTTCTCCTGCAGATGGGAGTTTCTGAGGGAAAGTCTGAGCAGCTCTTACACAGAAGAGGAGGGGTTCAGGAAAGTCCTGGGGCTGGGAATCAGGGCCAGCGTCAAAGCCAGCCTGTTTCCTGGAGTGTCCTCGTTAGCCTGGCCCTGGAGTGAAGGCCTGCAGCTGGTGTGTGTGTGCAGGGCGGTGTGCCTGTGGGTGTGCTTGGAGGGGAGGAGGAGGAGGAAGCAAAGCCACTGTGCAAGGGCTCTGCTGTGCAGGCTGTCGAGCAGACGGCCTCACACACACATACACAAAGGCACACAGATGCGAGCCATGTGAATCACCCAACCAGTGAGTCAGCCCCCAGGATTCCTGTTGGGGAATGAGCGAGGCCAGGCTGAGGTCTGTCGGTCCATCTGTCGGTCTGGTGTATGCGTATGTGTGTAGGTGGGTTGTAGGAGGTAGTGGGGAAAGTGCCTGGCAGTGTCCTGGGAAGGCTTTTGGGCAGAGGTGGCGGGAGTCTGCAGGGGCCTCCTGGAGGTGTGCCCCCTGCACACACAGCTCCCTGGGCCGGGGCAGGAGGGGCCTGGGGCGCCTTGGGGTATAGGTGGCAGGGATGATGATCACAGCCTGTCACTGAGAGCTTTCTCCTTCCCGTTCCAGGCCATCTGTGCCCAGACCCCGGAGCACTCCTGCACCACCATGACTGGGCTACTGAAGAGGAAGTTTGACCAGCTGGATGAGGACGACTCCTCGCTCTGCTCGTCCTCCTCTTTGTCCTCCTCGGGCCGCCACTCTCTCTCCTGCTCCCCAAGCTCTTCAGTCTCCCCAGCCTGGGACTCGGAAGAGGAGGGCCCCTGGCATCAGATGCCCCTGCCTGACCGTGACTTCTGCAGCCCCCGCAGTTTCACCCGTGAGTCCCCACTCCCCCTGGGAACCCCACCACACCCCTTCTTCCTTCCTGAAGATGAAATTGGGAGGCCTGCAAGAAAGCCGTTCTGGCCTCTGGAGGTCATGTCCCTGTGGCTTTAGCTCCCTTCCTTGGCTCCCTACCTTGTCCACTTTCCAGAATACAGTGGTTGCTCAGGAATGCACACTGTCCAGAGGTACTTGGGCCTGGCTAGATTCACCTTTGACCTTGGGACTCCCCTGCTTTGAAATCTGGACGTTCAGGATGGAGCTCTTCAGAGTGGCCCTCTGCCTCACCCCCCTGGCTCCTCCCTCCTGTTCCAGTTTCGTTTCTCCAGCTTTCGCCTTGTCTTCCTTCCAGCTGCACCACTGCAGCTCCACACCCCACACTTCTCCGCTGAGAGTCCTGTCAAGCCGGTCCCTCTCCTGTCAAAATGCTGTTTGGCTTTGCCCGAATGCAGTGAAAAGTTTCTTTCCCAGTTATTTTTCAAGCCGGTGTGACTCTGATTCTAAACTGACAAAGGTGGCCCTGGAGCAGTGTTTCTCATTCTTACTTTTCATTATCACTACCCCCAAACCCCAAGGAGCCATTTTAGACATTTTTTTTTTCCTGATCACCCCCATGCAATATTTTAGTACCACAGATACGATGTCTGTTTATGTACTATATGTATTTCTGTGCATTATACATTACAAAGTATGCTTTTTAGCACAAAGAATCTAACAGTACATTAACTGACTGAACTACTATGGGTTTATCCTGGAAATACAAGGCTGGTTTAATACCGTGAAATCGAATCTTACAGGTTTCCAAATGCTTATGTCAGAGGAGGAAAGCCATAAGAGCTATTGTAGATGCTGAAAGAATATTTGATAAAATGTAATGTTCCTTCTAGATAAAACTCTTGGTAAGATCGGAATAAGTAAATTCTATTTAAATGATAAAAAATATGTTTCACCCTAAAAGCTGATTCCAATTAATGAAGAAATATTGGAAGCAGTCCTAAGTCAGGAACAAAATGAGGACGCTGTCTGTCACCATTGTTGGTTAACGTCATTGAGGAAGTGCTAGCCAACTCAGTTCACGAGGAGAATAAGAATTCTATATATGGCATTGGGACAGGCAAAATTACCATTATTTGCATGCAGATGGTTGGCTACCTGCTGAATTCAAGAATATAAACAGGAAACCTTTTAGAAGGGAATTCCCTCAGGTATATTGAGATATATGCAATTGCCAATATTCAACTATTTTATAATAATTTTTATGGTTCAGCCTAGTAAAAAGCAATAATATACCAATATATGTATGAATATCTATCTAATCAATAACTTATAAAAGGAAGGCCTTTGTAAGCCTGTTGCAAAAACACAGAAGCTGTAAAGGAAAAGATCAATATATTTTTGATTGCATAAACCTTAGAAATTATTTTGTAAAATGCCATGAACAAAAAGACTTAAAATAGTTTCACCGATAGATAGGCTAGACAAGTGATTAATGTCTCTAATAGAAAGAGCTCCTACAAATCAATTTTAAAAATTTTAGAAAACTGTACAAGGGACCTATAAATGGCTAAGAAAGATGGTAAAGAGGTTTAATCTCCGGAGGACTCATGCCCTGCCCCCTCTCTGCCTGCCTTCCAGCCCTGTCTATCCTGAAGCGGGCTCCCCGGAAGCGCCCGGACCGTGTAGCCTTCGATGGCGTCACCGTCTTCTACTTCCCTCGGTGTCAGGGCTTCACCAGCGTGCCCAGCCGTGGTGGCTGCACCCTGGGTATGGCCCCTCGTCACAGCGCCTGCCGCCGCTTCTCCTTGGCCGAGTTTACACAGGAGCGAGCCCGGGCACGGCGCGAGAAGCTCCGCCTGCGCCTGAAGGAGGAGAAGCTGGAGGTGCTGCGATGGAAGGTAGGGAGACCCCTCTCCAAGGCCCACACAGCGCGGCATTGCTTGAAGCCCTAGCCCCGAGGGCCACGGCATCAGGGGTGGGTGCCGCTTCGCTCATTGTGTATTTGCGAAGAGAGGTCTGTTGCCTGCATTATCCGCAGACAGAGTGGGGTGCAGAATGGCTCAGGTTTACTGCAGGGGCTGGGGGCATGGTGCCTAAATCTGTCCGACCTCCATGCGGAGGGGGATGTGGAATCCATGGACATTGGGGGTTGGCGTATCTGTCTGGCTTGGGGAGGGCATTTGTCTGTGAACAGGGGTATGACGTGAACAGGAAATCTCTCTGCAGATGCCCTGAGGGCAGAGTTCTTGGCTGTTCCTGTCACTATAGTATCCATAGTGCCCGGCCCAGAGTAAACACATGGGAAGCATTTGTTGAGTGACCAGTGGCTAGGGGGACTAAGACCACATGTCTGTGCTGCTCACATCCCACCTCTCTCCTGTCGATGCAGCTTGCAGAGTCTGGGGCACCTGAAACAGAGGCTAGCCTGCCACTGACAGTAGACGCCATCGATGACGCCTCTGTGGAAGAGGAGTTGGCAGTGGCCGTGGAAGCTGGCCGGCTGGAGGAAATGACTTTCCTACAGCCCTATCCAGCCCGGAAGCGGCGGGCCCTGCTGCGGGCTGCTGGTGTACGGAGGATCGATCGAGAGGAGAAGCGGGAGCTGCAGGCTCTGCGCCAGTCCCGGGAGGATTGTGGCTGTCGCTGTGATAGGGTCTGTGACCCTGAGACCTGCAGCTGCAGCCTGGCGGGCATCAAGTGCCAGGTACGGTGGCCGGAATGGGCTGTGACGGGGAGCCTGGGTTTGGGAGCATCCCTGGGCCTACAGCATCCTCACAGGTGCCTCTCCTTTCTCTGCAGATGGACCACACGGCGTTCCCCTGTGGCTGCTGCAAGGAGGGCTGTGAGAACCCCAAGGGCCGTGTGGAGTTTAATCAGGCGCGGGTTCAGACCCATTTCATCCACACGCTCACCCGCCTGCAGCTGGAACAGGGGGCTGAGAGCCTTGGGGAGCTGGAGACCCCTACCCAGGGTGGCCCACCCAGCCCTGGTGAGCAGGTCCTGGCCCCCACTTTCCCGCTGGCCAGCCCCGCCGTGAGCAGCGAACTGGGAGACCACAGCTGCAGCAGCGACATGACCGATTCCTCCACAGCATCGGGCACCAGTGAGGCCCCCGACAGCCCTGCCCACCCGGCCCTGCCTGGCCCTGGCTTCCAGCCTGGTGCGGATGATGACAGCTTAGAGTGGATCCTGAGTTTCAGTGACTCTGACCTGGGCGGAGAGGAGGAAGAGGAGGAGGAAGCAGGTGTGGGAAGCCTCGACAACCTCAGCAGCTTCCACCTAGCAGATATCTTCAGTACTGGTGACCCTGGCGGCCTGGCCAGCTGGACCCACAACTATTCTAGCTCTAGTCTCACATCAGGCATCCTGGACGAAAATGCCAACCTGGATGCCAGCTGCTTCCTAAATGGTGGCCTTGAAGGGTTGGGAGAAGGCAGCCTCCCTGGCACCTCAGTGCTGCCCAGCATGGACGCCGGCCAGAGCAGCTCAGTGGACCTCAGCTTGTCTTCCTGCGACTCCTTTGAGCTGCTCCAGGCCCTGCCAGACTACAGTCTGGGGCCTCACTACACCTCTCGGAAGGTGTCTGACAGCCTGGACAACCTTGAAGCACCCCACTTTCCCTTCCCTGCCTTTTCCCCATCTGGGGACACCAGCATCTGCTTCCTGGAGTCCATCATGGGCTTGTCCGAGCCGGCTGCCGAGGGCCTGGCTCCCTTCATGGACAGCCAGTTGTTTGAGGACACTGCCCCAGCATCTCTGGTGGAGCCTGTGCCTGTGTGAGGACTAGGGTGCCTTTTCCTGGCCCCGAGAGCCCTGTTGCTGCTGTGTTGTAATTTGAGGGCTCCCAGGGTCTATATTTAACAGTCTCCCATTGGCAGACTCACCCATGTGGGCACTCCTAATTTTCATGCAACACTCTGGATTTATTTATTTTTGTAACTTTCTGTGCTGAAGAGGATGGGAGGGGGCTTCCCCCTTCCGTGTCCCCCACCCCCCACCCCCACACACAGTTTCTTCCACTTCCATGGCACATGCCAGGAAGAGGAGGACATGTGTCTTCCCTAAAGCTTTGCAGACCCCTCTTCCGTTTTATATGATGTTTCTTAGCCCAAAGACTGAGATGGGCTGGAATCAGCCACTTCTTCTGGCTTCTGCCACTCTGAGCCCTAGTTCCCTGGGTGGCTGAATCCTCTGGACTGTGAAGACTAATTTATTCCCATAATTTATTTGGAGACTAGGCGGCTTAGGCTTCTCTTTCCTGGTGGGTTGGCAGTGCTGGGGTTAGTAGGGCACAGACCCCAGGGGTCCCTTTTGCCTTGCATTCCTGGCAGCCCTGCCCTGCCTGGTCTTAGGTGCAGGCCAGGTGTGGATTCGAGCCCTATGTCTACTGTGGCAGCTGCCTGGCTCCAGATGGCTAAGCAGGCAGGGGCTGGCCCAGGACAGCCAGAGGACAGGGGAAGGGCTGAGCTGGGCTGAGCTGGGCTGACCAACCGTGACCAAAACCTTCTGCCCCACTCAGCCCCCTCTGCTTCCTGTCCTCTGCCCCATATCTCTCTTCCCCCAAAGGCCACAGCCTTTATTCCCTGCCCATCAGTGTAGGAGGAGGGGGAAGCAGGAGGCCCAGAGGGGGCAAGGGGCTTGCCTCAGAGCCCACAGCATGCCCCCTGCTGGCTCTTGGAGCTTTCTGGGCACTGAACTCCAGCGTGGCCCACTTGCCCATGCCCTAAGGCCAGCTGGCCAGGGCAAGCGGTAGCTCCTTATGGCTTTTACGTCCATTGTTTGCTGATGTTGAATTTTGCATCATAATTTCTCTATTGTCCTTGAGTATTAGAACTATAATTTATTCATTTTACTCTGTGTCTGTGCCAAGAAGCCCAGGCTCTGGGCCTCCCCTCTTGCCCAGGAGGCTCTGCCAACCTGTGTGCTTGTGGGAAAACCTTGTACCTGAACCTACAGGTACCAATAAAGAGGCTCTATTTTTAACTGTGGTCTGCATTTGTGGGACAACTGGGAGCATGGGTACACCCTCAGGAGGCAGTGGTGAGGGAGGGGGAGTACCCTGTAGGGCAGTGTGGACAGAGGCTGTGTTGGGAATAGGAGTGGGGGACGCAATACACTGGGCCTCTTTCCATGCAGGCATTAACCTGGAGACGGGAAGCCCACTGAGAGAGTCTGGCCGTGCACATGGAGCAGTTTTCCCTTTGGATGAGCCCATCTCTCCAGTGGGCTCCTGGGGTGGGGATAGCAGCAGGGCAGTCTTCTGAGACAGGCTATCTGCTTGGATAGGTGAGGGCACTCTCCTACTCACGCACACTGAGCTGGGGTGTGTCGTGAGTGTGAAGTGGAGGCAGGCAGTGGGATGGGCTGGGTGGAGGCCTTGTGTGGGGCTGAGCTGCTGAGGTCCCTGGGGGCTTGAGCACCACCACCGGAAGCTGTAGAACTTCATCCACCTGCACCAGCCAGACCTGTCTGACCTGTCCCTGGCAGCCTGAGCTGCAGGCCAGAGGAGCAGGCAGCACTCGGCCCTGGTAAGCCCCACTCCAGCGGCCTGAGGAGCAAGGTCAGCCTCCCCTTTAGGATTTGTACAAGTGCTGAGAGGGCAATCAAAAAGACCCGACTCCTTTTCTTGTTCTAATTCTCTGTCTCTTGGTCTGTGTTGGGCTCCTTTATTTCATGTCTACGGTTTACTGGTTAAGAGCATGGACCCAGAGTGCCAGGTTTGAATTCCAGCTCTTACCTAGTAAGGTAACTTATACAAATTACTTCCCCTCTCTGTGCCTGGGTGTCCTCAATACTGTGCAAATGACACTGCTCACCTCATAAGTTCCTTCAGTTCATAAATACACAGCACTTGGAAGAGTACCTGGAACGTACAAGCCTCCTATGCATGTTTGTGACTTTTCATGTTTCGGCCTCTTTTTATGTCTTATCTTCTCCCTCTCCCCTCCTTGTCCCCCTCCCTCTCCCTCCTTTTGCCAGTTCTGTCACCTTTTAGATATGTCTTACCTCCAGACATGCATGGACATGGCCACATGGCCATATCATCAGTGGCCCCTAGACGACTCATGGCTTAGAGTCTGGCCTATGGTGGGGCAGCCTGTCCCTGTAACCAGCTTAGGCAGGACAACCAGGTCTTAGGCTTCTCAGAGTGGACTACCCTGGTACAGTCTCCCTTCTCACTGGTCTCTAGTAATCCTGTAGAGGTTGCTTCGGCATGCACAATCTCTCCACGGGCTGTGAGGCTCTGCTCTGACTAATCTGGGGTCTGGGTGGCAGCCCCCAGCAGCTCCAAGTACCCCAGCGGGAAAGCACCTAGAGGCTCCTACCCCATGGACACAGCCCATGGTGAGACTGAGCCTGCCCATCTAGGGCCACAGGGTCACTTTATGCCTTTTTTTTGGTGGCAGCCCCCAGCAGCTCCAAGTACCCCAGCGGGAAAGCACCTAGAGGCTCCTACCCCATGGACACAGCCCATGGTGAGACTGAGCCTGCCCATCTAGGGCCACAGGGTCCCTTTATGTCCTTTTTTTTTTTTTTTTTTTTTAAGATAAATGAACATAATTTAGGCTTTACAGCAATAAAAAAGTGATTAACGCACAATCCTTTACAGCATCATTCTCCATATAGAAAGACCTGTCTCTCAACACAACCCGCCCCAAGAAACTTGGTTGTAAAGCACATTATGTATGATAAAGGGAACTGGTTTCCCATGAGACGATGGTAGCGACCTGAGGAAAGCATTCCAGATCATTGAGTCATACCAAAAAGCCATGCACGTGACCGCAGTAAGTTACAAGAACAAGGCTCAGCAGCCACCAAGGACAACTCAGGCTCTTCTAAAAGGGACCCTTACCTGTCCACTGTTCCCAAACCTTAGTCACCAGACAACTTCTCTTGAAAACTTTGCCATATCTGCATTCTACTCATACTAAGCATTTTACTTTTATATCAATTACATTGATATGCTTAAAATTTAGAACCAATCTATGTAGCAACACCCACAGATTCATGAGTTTGTTGTGCTATTTTCCTCCATTATATAAAAATATTTAAACACACAGTTATTAAACTTTAAAATGTTTGCTGATTATCATTGGCAGAGATTCGTACCAGGATTGGGGAACATGCGGATCTAGTCTAATTTCCTGCCACAGATGGGGACAGCGAGACCTAGAGATGGGAAGGAAGGGTCTTGGGAAGGTCACGCAGGGAGACTCTAGACCTCCTGACTCCCAGTTCAGAGTTCCTTCCCCTGAGGTTGGCCTGGCCCCTTACTGCCATCCTGGAAAACAGGAAGAGAGGCATTGGGAGCACAGCAAAGGTAACCTCTATCACCCTCTTGCCAGTTACAGTTGACATCATTCATCTAAGTAAGGACCACTGCTTTTGTCCCTCTAGGTGTTAAAAGGGCTTCTGAAGGATGAATCAGTCAGTGTCTTTTACAAAAGCTGGAGTGAGAACTAATTTTTCTTGGCATGTATTTCCCTGCCCCAGGAAAGGCCAATGTGGTTTCTCCCAAATCAGTGAAGACCAGCAGAGGCCAACGAAGACCTGGGGAGGAGAAGACAGAATGTATGGGATAGAGTGGGCCGATGACCCTTGCAGCCTGCAGGATGATGGTCTCTCTCACCCAGTGCCTCAGCTGTGAGGACCTTGTGCAGCTGGTCCTCCTGTCTGGGCCCAGTGCCAGGGAGGATGCAGTGAACAGCATGTCAGAGAGAAGCGCTTCTTTAGCTCCAGGATTCAGGGGACCAAACAGGAGAGGGGAGGCAGTTATGGGATGACATAACTATTAAAATAGCTGTGGAGCATTTTTTTAACCACCTCTTTGTTTGCCTCTTCCCCCTCAGAGAGTCTAGAGTAAAAGTGAGGCCCATTAGAAGGTAGCCAGGGAGCCCCAGCAGAAGCTAAGCTGGTTGATGTCTTTGTCCCCAGAGCAAAATTGTTTCTTGTGCCTTAAAAACATAAAGCTTTGGGATGCCCTTTAGACCAGATGAGGCATGATTCATATAAATCACACAATCTAGAAATGGGGGAGAATAAATATGTCACTGTCCGAATCTCCACTGACCATCCCCTCCATGAAATGTCCATAGGTTGATGGTTTCCACCCACCCTGGCTCTCACTGACCATACCTAGGGCCGCAGAGACCCTCGAGCCTTTTCCAAAATTTCTTCTCTGATTTTGGGGTAGTTGGGGTGCTCTCCTAGGACCTGGGACAGAGAGAGAAAGGGTGTGAAACATCAGGCAGGGCCCCCTGCCACTATCCCAGGCTATGACACCAAGCTCTCCCTGATAATGTTGGTGCCTTACATTGTGGCAGACTTCAATGGCTTCCACGAATCTCTTGTCCTTCAAGTAGTTGAAAGCTAGTTTGAAGCCTGTCCGGGGGCAGGGAGAATATAGATGGTGGGTGGCACTCTGATGACCTGAGAACCCCTCTGGGTCCCACAACAGCCAGAATAACAGCCTTGGGTTCTGGAGTCAGGGTGGCGGTTCTTCTGCCCAGCTCCCTCCCACACCCACATGCACTGTGGCTGGCTGCCTTACCGATGGTAGGGTTGGCATGATGACTGTACTTCCAAGCCAGCTCGTAGTTGGTGGCTGCATCCTTGTAGGATTGCTCCTTCTCCATGATGAAGCCCATGTACTCGTAGGCCTTGCAGCAGGACTGCAGAGAAAGTGGGTCAGAGCTTCTAGGAGGGGAAGCCACATCCGTTCCAGCACCTGGGCACCCTCAGCCCTTCTGCCCCAATCTCCCTCCCGGCCCCACTGACTCCTGCATGCCTGTAGACTCAGGAACCTACTCTCTCCCCATTCCCTGTTCTCCCCCAGCTGCTAGACCCTCTGGGCCTCCGCTTGCCTTGCTCTGAGCTCTCAGTTCCCATCCCGCTCTCGTCCGGCCTCTTCTCATTCCGTTCCCTCCGCATCTGCTCTGCCCCAACACCAGGCCGCCTCAGCCCGGCGTCCCCCACCCCCGCAGCCCCGACCGCAGCGCGCCCCTCGCCTTGTTGTACTGCACGCAGCGCCGCAGCAGCTCTGAAGCGAGGTCGAATTTGCCGCCTTGGCAGTAGATGTCAGCTAGAAGGAGCCAGCTCTTTTCCAGGTCCTCGGCCTCAGCCATCGCCCATGGGGCCTTGGCCAGACGCTTCAGCTGCGTGCGCGCCTTAGGGACCTGCTTCAGCAGCATGTAGGCCTGCGCCACGGCCAGCAGCGCGGGCACGCTGTCCTTCTGCGCGGGGTGGGTGGGAAGCAGGCAGCGCTGGCATCCTCGGCCTCACCCCCCAGCTCCGCCCGCCTGCCCCCCTGCCGCGCCAGCCAGCGCACCTCGGCCTGAGCCATCTCGATGAAGGTGCCCAGCGCGGCCTCCACGTTCGCCTTCTCCCTGGTGGCCAGCAGGCAGAGCCCCTGCAGCAGCCGCAGCTGGGTCTGGCCCCAGGCGGTATGCGGGTAGAACTCACGCAGCAGCTTCTCCGCGGTGCGCACTCCGTGCTGCTCCGACTCCTTCCTGCCAGGGGAGCTTCGGGCGTTGGGCGAGCCGGAGGCCCCCAGCCTGCCCGCGTGGCCCTCGCTTGGCCAGGACCCAGAGGCCACAGGCTCTCCCCGCCTTCTCCAGGGTCCCGCCCCTGCCCCCGGGGAACCAGTCGGGCCCTTACTTGCTCTCAGCCACCAGGTTCTCTAATGCCTCTCCGCCCACAATCTCGTTGTCTGGGTTCAGACAGATCTGCACCATGTAGTAGGTGGCGCTCTGGCCCCAAGTGCTGTCCTTGCGGGCTTTGTTTAGGAACTTTAGGGCTTCGTTGGGCTGCCCTATATGCCTATAGTGGAGGAGAGAAACCAGAAATCAGGTGGGGAAACTGAGGCTCAGGGGCCACTCCGTGGGTCAGCACTGAGCAGGGGTTGGATCCGTGGTCTCTCTGCTCCCCGCTCTGGAAGCTTAATTTCCGCTTCCCTGGTGCTGAGCAAAGGCCCAGCAAACCTG